ACTATAATTTTATTGCCATGGCCTAATTTTGTCCATGCTGTTTAAAACTAACAAGTTACGATTTTGGAAAATATCAGAAAAGCAAAGTGCAGCAGCTCTATTATCTTACATTATAGGAAAGAGGCACCCCACATCTTGATAGCAGGCCCTCTGTGATTTTAGCGTTTCTCCACTAATGGAGAGATGTCTACCTAGCACGTGGCACCCAAATCATTCTTTAGGTTGAGCATCAGAGCAACTGGCCTTGAAGGAGAAGCCCACTCACTGTTTTTGCTTGCACTGCCCCTGCCTGAATGCAGAGGGCTGCAGAAGCAATGTGGTCTGAGGTGAAATTGTACAATAATGGCTTGCAATACACAACTGACTCCATGTGTGAAATGTAATGCAATATTAGCCCTCTAAAAAGGTTTCATCTTCTCAAGAACACATCCTTGCCATCGCTTAAGAGGCAATACTAGGGTAGCATATCTCATTATGGTTCTTTTACTTTCAGGAAACTTCCAGCCTGCAGACTCCCAGTCAGATTCCTTCTACGATTCCAAAGGTTTCTGGGCCCTTGGAGCAGCCCTGTTCTGGATTCCAGGCTCAGGCTTTACTAGATGTGGTAAATGTTGGGCTGAAATTGCACAGCACGTCTGGAACTTAAAAACTAAATCTTATTTGCATTTTGGAATGGCATTAAAATAAATACAGTACAAAGTCTTAACATTCATAATAGGAAATCTGTAAGTCCTTCCCACCTTTTTCATGCTTGAAGCTACTAGGTGAAGTGCCTTTGTGAAAACAGCTCCTTAATTTTCAGTACTTCTTAAGTGATCTCAGTTTGGCTGTATAATAGGTACGTGGCTCCCAACTTCAGTCAATGCCAGAATCATTGTTTCTGGAAGGATAAACACATATAAACTCACACAATAGTTTAAGGTAATAACAAGCAGAAAAAAAGAAAAGGAGCTATGTGCTACGAAATCTATGGCTCTCTGTAAGAATTCACAGGTCATCAGATTGGATTTACTTGTCCTTAATACAAGCTGTGCCCTAAGGAAAGTCATGACTAGCTTATTTCTTCAGTCAGTAGGCATATAGGTGTGTTTGAATATTCATTATGTATAGAAAAGTATGACAATATGGAATAAAATAATCTTAAAGGACTATTACTATTATGTGGAAGTGACTATTTAGAATAGACACATTTTAGGGTGATATTGTTAAAGTATAATTTTCCCCAGATTATTGAAACATCCCCTAAGCACCAAAAGTTTAAAATAGAATTTTTGATTGTTCATTTTGTTGAACTTTTTGATAGACATCTTTTAAAATTGATTTACATTGTATTTTGAATATAATTTAAGTCTTTTAAAATTTTGATTGATTTTAGAGAGAGGAAGGGGGAGAGAGAGAGAGACAGACATCGATTTGTTGTTCCACTTATTTATGCATTCGTTGGTTGATTCTTGTATATACTCTGACCAGGAATTCACCCTGCAACCTTGGCATATTGGGGCGATGCTCTAACCAAATGAGCTACCCAGCCAGGAATAATTTAACTTTTTTAACGAGCCAGTTTGAATGTCATAATTGAGAGGCTGAGAGTTAAGTGGTATAATCAGAAACAAGGGATCTGTACCACTTTCCTCCCCAAAGCCCTGCCTTCCTCCTCATTGTCATGCATCAAATTTTCTAGGGCAGGAATATGGATACCAAAGCCCTGCTCTTCCTCCTCATTGTCATGCATCAAATTTTCTAGGGCAGGAAGATGGATACTACCCTTGATCCCCTCCCCTGCCATCCAATCAACTATGCTATCTGAATGCCTCTTGAAATGCTTACTCTTCTTCTTCACCAGTGGTACTACTGTAGTTCAGGCCATTCATGTCTCTTCGTTAGATGGTAGAGTTTTTTAAACTGGTGTCCCTGCCTCTATGTAGTAGTCTGACCACCCTGAAGTCCATTATCCATTTTATAGCCAAAGTGGTCCTTCTAAAAATGCATGTCTGATCTAAGCATTCCTCTGCCTAAAACCCTTTAATGGCTTCCTATTGCTCTCACAATAAAACCCAACTCCTTAATGTGGCCTCCTTGGAGGCCCTTCATGATTCTATCTCTATTAGCTCTGTTTTTGTCTGTTTGATCTAGCTGTGTCTGATAGTTTGTTAAAGTTTCCCACTCAGATGGTGGGCTTGTCGATTTCTCTTTGTAATTTTGGTGGTTTTGTTTTCTGTAATTGAAAGCAATGTTATTAGGAACATTTAACTTCTCGGTAATGACCCTCTTTGTTTCTATTAATACATTTGGTTTAAAAGACTTTTAGAAATCTAATACTAATAATGTTTCATAGGTTTTCTTTTTTATTTCTTTTTTTATCCCTTTATGTCCAGTATATCAGTGGTTTAGTTTTGTGTGTCTTTTGCTAGCATTATATGCCTGAATATTATTTTATACCAATCTGATAATCTGTCTTTCATTAAGAAATTTAAATCTCTTCAGTTTTGTGTTTGCTGTTATATTGGTACTTAATTCTACTATTGTCTTTTGTGTGTCGTGTTTGACATGCCTTTCTTTTCGTCGTTTTTTTCTCCTTTTCTGTCTTCTATATAGAATGATCAGTTTTCTGTATCAATTTCCCTAACCCTTGGCCACATTTTTCTTGCTGTGGTTTTAGAAGTTCTGTATCAGCTTTTTATTAATATAAAGTTTCTTATAAAGTATTCAGACAAAGTCATTATTTTTATACCTCTCCCAAACATGACAAAGGCCTTAGCATGCTTTAACTACCCATTGTGTATTTCCATTCTTATTTTTTTAAACAGTAGAGTAGTGAACCGAGTCCAGCACGGCCAGGGGTGAACCTGAGGAGGGGCGGCGAAGAATTAAAGAAGACAGACAAGAGAATATAGTTGGGACCAGGTGGGATCACTGTGCCTGGATGAGGAAACTGATACAGCCTGTAAGCTGAAGCTTTATAGTCAGATCACACAAAGCAAAACAAGGGCAAGATATTTACAGTGTTCTTGCGACTTTCAAATCTGCTTCTTTCCTGTTGTTGCCATTCTCTGAGCTCTTTCAAGCCTTGTTTTGGCAGCACTTGCTGCACACCCTGCAGCCCACATCCCTTAGCTACCTGAGGGTCGGACTATAAGGTCAAGCTTACAACCATAGCCTTTTGGCTATAATTGTGCTGGGAGGGCTTTGTCCTCCAAGCTGGGACTCGTATGTGGCTTTGCCACAGTCAGTCCAAGGCTTGAACCTGTCCAAACGTTGTAGCCGCTCTCCACAGAGTAGTTATTTTTAATTCTACCATCACATTTTATTTATTTCTTCCCTCACTAGTACTTCTTGTATGCTTTCTCTCTGGGCTTATTTTTCTTACTGGGAGAAGTACATTCTTCAGTAGTCCTTTGGGTGTAGGTCTGTGAGTGTTAAACTCTTTTCGTCTTTTATGATTGAAATGTCTTTGTTGTGCTTTCTCCCTTAAATGACAGTTTATCTGGAAATCGAATTCTTGGTTGAGAGTGTTCCATTCAATATTTCTAAGATACTCAGTTGTCTTTTCTGTTGTTGCTTTTTAGCACTCTAGGTATAGTCCTTTTGTAGATAATCAATGTTTTCCTTTTGGTAACTTGAGATTTTATCCTTTTTTCCATATTGCTCTGTGGTTTCACTATGTGATAAAAGTGTTACTTCACTCTTATTTGTCTTGCTCATTACACGTGTTCTGGTGTTTTGATTAGAAAACCTTCGTCATTTTTTCCTTTTTTTTTTTTTAAGTATAGCTTCTCTCCTCTTCAGTTTTCAGTTTTTCCTTCTAGAACTCCTGTGAGACATATGTTGGCACCACTCAACAGAATCCTGATGAATCTTAACTTTTGTTCACGTTTTTAAAATATCTTTATTATTCTCTACTGTGTTCTGGGTGAATTCTTCAGAGCATCCCTTTAATTCATTACTTTTTCTCTTAAACTTTGGCAAGTTCCCCAGTTAACTCAATCTGTTGACTTTTTTTCATTTCGGTGATCATATTTTTTTTAAGTTTTCTATTAGCTATTTTTCATATTTATCTGTTCTCAAATCAGCTTGCATTTGTTCCCTAATTTCTTCGTTGCTTTGAGAATGCAGAAATATTAATTAAAAAAATCGTTGTCAGGCAGTTCCATAGTTCATTTCATTTCATAGTAGTAAATTCATGTTCTGATTGTTCATTCTGTTGGCCTTTCTTAGTATTAGATATTTGTATGTGTTTGGAACTTGGTGGTTATACTCATGCTGAATGGGAAGTTTTTATATGCTTTTATCTGTTTTCCTCTTGCTGCCTCTATGCTTGCCTCTCCATGTCCAGCGATTTTTGCCCCCACCTGACCCCTTGGACCTCCATTCTAGAATCAGGTCTAATGTTGGCATTTTGATGCTCCTACCCCACAGTGATGTTGGGGATTTTGCAGAACCAATCACATGGCCAGTTGCTTGGGTTGGTTCCTGACTCCAAGGCCATATCTTTGTCCTCTGCTTCCCCAGGCAGTGGGTTGGCTACTGTTTATTTCCAGCCTCCTTTCACAAGCACCACTTCAAGAACTAGCATGGCTCCTGTTCTCCACCTTGTGGGGAGCATCTTTAGTTCCTATCCCTCTGCAGGAGACGAACATCTTGGCTTTTGCAACAGGCCCACTTGGGTCCTGTGGCTTCAGACTTGCTGTTCTATTTCTGATCTATGAAATGGTTTGTTTCTGAGCCTGGTTATGTCTTTTTGGTTTTCTCTTTGTATATTTTAGCTATCATTGTTATTTGTGTGCAGTAAAGGGAGTGGATCAAAGCATAATCTTGCTGTACCAATTTGAGCAGAAATCTTTCTGTATTTTCCTCTTCAGCTTTCTCTCTCACCATCCCTTCCTCTACAACCTATGTTCTAGCCATAGTTAATTTCTTTAGAGGATCAATTAATTGAATGTCCTGCCCCCATCACTCTGCATAAAGTTTGGATGAAATAAGCCAAAGAGGATAGGCAAGTGTAGATTTTTTAAATGTCAGCTTTATTGCAAGTAAGTTAATAAAGAACAAAGTTCTAGATCTGTAACCCAAAGGAGCTTGCTAACATTTTCCAACTCTCAACCATCACAGATTTTAGCCTGAGAACAGCCCACTAACGGGGAAGGTTGGGTTTGCAGGGCAGACACATTTATCCAAGATCATTGTCAGCACTGGGGCAGAAAGGGAACAAGAGAAAGAGTCCTCAGTAATTAGGGGTCTTTTTAAAAAAATATATATTTTATTTATTTTTTTACAGAGAGGAAGGGAGAGGAGATAGAGAGTTAGAAACATTGATGAGAGAGAAACATCGATCAGCTGCCTCCTGCACTCCTCTTACTGGGGATGTGCCTGCAACCAAGGTACATGCCCTTGACCGGAATCGAACCTGGAACCTTTCAGTCCGTAGGCTGATACTCTATCCACTGAGCCAAACGAGTCAGGGCAATTAGGGGTCTTTTTAATAGATTAACTCCATCCAGTCAAAAACTATGAGCCAATGAATGTAACAGTACTCATCAGTCAAGTAACTCCCTTCTGAATGTGAAGGTTAGTGGTGTAGGAGCCAAAAGTTATAGCCTAATGAATAATCTTCCAACACCTTCCTCTGCCCCTGTGGAAAATGGAGCTAGGGGAAAGGAGGTTCCCCTAACACATGCCATGCTCTTCCTCCTTCATCCAAGTCTTTTCACAGGTTCTCTCCACCTCTTTTTCTGCCAACTCCTTACTCATTCTGATGCCTAGAATAAAAATAGTAGTTACTATTTATTGAATCCCAACTACGGGAAGCACTATCACATACATTACCTCATTTAATCCTCATAACAACTCTATAAGGTCTGGATTTTAATTTTAATTTTAGGGGCAAAGAAATTAAGCATAAGGAAGGTTTTCAAGATCACATAGGTAAATGGTGGAGGTAGGATTCGATCCAGGGTTCTCTAGTTTCAGAGCTTATATTCTTTTCATTATATCCAGCTGCTTCCCGTATTTTATTCATCTTTGGACATGCTCAATACCATTTAATGAATGAATATGTAAATCAGTGAAACATTCTCAGGCTAACTGCCTTGAGTGGATTAGAAACAACTGTAATATGAGGATTTATAAAGAATGCTTCACCTCCTTTGGCATCAGATTGCTCTCTATAAAGGTGACATGAGCATCCGATTTTGAAGAGCTGTGTAGGGGCTGCAAGGTTTGACATATCTCTGCTGTCACCTCTGTCCAGCACTTTCAATTTTAGATTTTCCCCTGGCTGCCCAAGAAGTCAATTGCTCTCTCTACAGGGGATTGAGCTTGCAATCCCTCCCTGCATGGGGCCACGCCCAATCCACCGAGCTGCGCTGGCCAAGGCTGTTGTCATTTTTGTATTTGAAAATCTAAGGGAAAAGAGGTCAGTGCCCCTGACTAAACAGTCGGACATTGCTTGTTTTAAAAATTCTTGCAGCACAAGGGTTGAAAATCGCTGCATGGAAGAATACAGAGAGAGCAAGGCTAAAGTCTGGTCACTTTTTTCCTTATATATTTTTTACATTTCCTACATTTCTCTACACATGGTCATGTCTGGTAATTTCTTCTCTAACATCTTCCTTGGATATATTGGGAACTAGTTGAAAGTAAGAAGAACAGGTTATATAAGTAAATCAAAAGACTCTTTTTTCAACTGTATCTTTTCCCCTCTAGCCTATGAATCTAGTTTAATTAACGCAGAGCTAGAAGAAATGTGTGTACTGGGTGTTAAAATTGTTTCAACAATGGAAAAGTAAACATGTGACTGAACAATACAAGTAATTTTTATATTGCAATACATAAGTGAATTTCAGGAATGATCCTATAAAACTGAAATATGGAGGGGGTAAATGTTGCTTGGCTGGAATTTAATGCTTTTAATTTCCTAAAATGCTATTTAATTTATATAGATTTGTAAAAGGGAAATCACCGCTTTGTGGCCACTTTGGAATGTTGTCTATGTCTTTGATCAGAGCATAACCACTCTCGGAAGATGACAGATTGTCTTTAGACCCTTTAGAATGAGATCTGTCCCTGTTGCATATATATTTATTGATTTATTTCATGTACTCTCTGCTTTTTGTTGGTTACTCTCTGATGGACTCATTCATGCGTTCACCTTGATAAAACGGAGTCCACCTATTTGAAATCTGATCTTAACTTTCTCAAGTACCAGTTTCCTTAAAATTATTTATTTATTTAATTATAAAAGCAACACAAACAGCACCCATGGGGGGGAAATCATAGGTAATACCAACATCTTAACGTAACAGCTATAGTATTTTTCAAGTATTCCCTTTTGATTTTTTATATGCGTATTTTTATATACTCATGTCATATTAGCAACTTCTTTTAAAAACACACACAAAACAGTACTGATTATTTTAAAACTCATTTCAGACAGACCTAGTCTCTAGAAGATAATATATACACAGGTACACACCATACCTTTTGATGCCAGTGTAGGATTGTAATAAAGTAATTGATACCATCATCAATGGCTTTAGAATTGCAGACTGCTTGCAGTAACCCCCAACTTAAATAAGCAAAACAGGCAAGGGCAAGAAAATGGAAGGGGCACAAATAAGCCTTCTTCTCGGGCTAATAGGTTGAAGCTGCTTAAGTCACAGTTGTCAGCTGGGTGATGGCAGGTTTCAGCTATCTCCCTGGTTAATGATTTGGTGTCAACCTAGATAGTATTTACTTTCCCAGACTCACGTAACTTGCTATTTTATCCAGAGGTCAATATTTATTTTCCCTCTTCTTTTTGTGGAAAATAATGACCTCGAAGGTAGGAAACCAATGTGTTTTCAGAGAGGCTGGGCATTGGAAGCCTACTCGTACAATTGACATGTTTTACTATGTAAAGGCGCACTGGGAAGGCAGAAGGTCCTTACAGTCGCTTCCCAAGTGCCAGCAGCCATCTCACTCAGGACCGGGCGCCCTTCCTGCCAGCCTGACGGGTGAACATGGGCGCTGGCCCTTCACACGTGTCTGTCTTTGGTTTGGCGAAGCAGGGCCCATGACAATGACTTCTTTTGTCCTGTGGTAGGTAGGTAGACATGCCGAGCTTTTGGAAATAGTGCAGCCTGGAATGGACTTAGAACTGTGCCAATGAGCATGAGGCTATTTTGCTTGTCTTTCAACCCAGGGCCGACTTTTCCCCTCGCTGCCATTTAAGGGCCTCCTTTCTAATTCCCAGTCATCAGTGAGGGTGTGTGGAGAGGATGACAGTTAAATATCAGAATAAAACACAACCTGGAAGCAAGAAAAAAAAATATGTATATGTACACACACACACACACACTGAGTGGCCAGATTATTATGACCACCTCATCAGTACTTCATTGACACTTCCAAAAATACTGAATATTGAAAACTTCCTAAGCAAATACTCTCAAGGTTTTATTATTATTATTTGCATAACTAATTCACTTCATTTACTGATGGGGTGGTCATAATAATCTCACCACTCTCTCTATATAATTTTTTTTTACTTAATACTATGGACAGCAGAATCCACTCGGACAGTGTTGAGCCTGATGTGAACACTGGTCTTGGGGCTCCGGCACCCCCTCATTAACACTTAAATCTCTTACACGGGGGCGGGGGGGGGGGCGGTGGTGAGGACCCTGAGAAGACCGGAGGTGGCTTCGGACCCTGGACCCGGACAAAGCTCTGTCCTAGGTCCCTCGGAAAGGAGGCCTAATGGGAAGGGCACGGGGGCCGTTCTATTTTTAAAACAGAAGCCTGGGACCAGGGCTGGGGGTCACTATTGCGGCCTCCGGGGGCCCCGGCACGTGCCCTTGGGCCGCGGGGAGGAAATTGAGACCCGGTCGTGGGCCCCAAGAACCCCTGGGCCTGGTCGGTAAACGGGGTCGATAACCGGGGAACCTTTGGCCGCCCTAACCCTTTGAACCAGTGACCATCCCCGGTAGGAATCCCCCGCGAACCAACCGCCCCTCGCTTCGGGAAATACAGGGGCGTCACCCCATCAATTTGGGGACATAAGAACCGCGGGGATTTATAAAAGAGAGTGGGTGGTGACAGCTGATTCCAGCTGGGTTACGACCCGGCCGTAGCGAAAACCAGGAGGCCATGAGAAGAGCGTGTTTTAGGCTCCTATCATCCGTTGAGGCAGGTTAAAGGAGTTCAAATGA